CGTTAATAACTCGAAAATTTAAAAACTTTTTTATGATTTTATTGCATAATCAGATGCACGCAATCGCTGCGCAACTTTTTATGCAACAAAAGTTACGTAATGTTTGTTACATAACAGAGAAACGACGCTTTTTTCGATTTTTTTTTCAGTTTTTCGTGAATTTCTCAACAACCACTCAAGATAATTACATCATCGACCACTCGTATGAAAGCTGAAGGTCTCACCTTTCCAACGAGCCTACATACATCTTCGTGTTGTCATCGAGTCGCCTGCTATAAGCTTTAGAAATTGGAAAAAAGTGAATTGAAATTGCCAAAAAATGGTTGTAATTCAGTTTTTCGTACTGCCAGTAATAAATAAAAATCAGTGTTTTCATACAAGTATGAATATGAATGAGCACCTTTAATTTATTATGTTTTCTGACAATAATTTTGTTTCTTCCTAATGCATTTGTTTTTGAGTGATGAGTTCACGTTTCTCCGGCGTCCGGCTTCTTGTTCCATGGCTGAACGTCGCCGCTGCCGAAGAACGAGAAGATGATGGCGCAGCCCATGTAGATGGATGCTCCCAGCCAGAAGACGATGTGCCACTCGGAAAGACCGTTCTATTAACAAAACAAACAAAAAGAGTTATTTATTTATTTTTAATTTGTATGGCGATGATTTGCATATTTACATTCTCCTGCGTGACGTAGCCTGCGATCAGCGGCGCCAGGAATCCGGCCATGTTGCCGGTCATGTTGATGATGCCGTAAATGGTTCCAGCGAAATTCGGCGCAAGATCTTGCGCGTTCTGCAGATTGGTGATGGTGGCCGCCCCGTTGAAGCCGAGCGCCAATGACATGAAGGCCACCGCCCACATCCGGTTGCATCCCACCATTGTAATTAGAAAGAGAAAAACGGACGGTAACATGTGAGCTGCAACAAAATTAAATTAAATTAAAGAAATTCGAACAAATTGATTGATTGATACGTACAAAAGAGCACGAAGAACTTTCGAACGAACGTGACGCTTAGTTTGCCGCGCTTCCGGATGTAATCGCCGATGGCGCCGAATATGAAACCGGAAACGAGACGCGTCAGATGTGGGAGCGCTGAAAGGAATCCGGATTTCCGGATGTCGAAGCCGAGGATTTCGGAGATGAACTTCGGGCCGATGGTGAGGAGTAGGTAAAGGCCCCACAGGTTGCCGAACTGCAGGAAGACTAGCGCCCAGAACGGGAAGGACATGAACATAGCCTTGTACGGTGGAATTGCCTGCAAAACATAGAATGAGACAACAACTTGCAACGTCGCATGAAACATATGAATGTACGTACCTTCTTCTTGGCGATGTTGGATGAGACGGCCTCTTGGATGTAGTTCTTCTCGCGCTCGTCTATGCACCTATGCTGATCCGGATAGTTGCTGACGGTGAGATACCAGAATATGCACCAGAGACCGGGCAAAAGACCGGACACGTAGAAGGCCCACGTCCAGCCCATCCTCATGATGACCTCGCTGAGAAGCGGCCACGTGATGACCGTTCCGAAGGTGCCACCCAGAAGACACCCGATGAATATGCCCTTCTCCACAGGCGGCACCCATCTGGCAATCAGGCACTGCAGCGCCGGAAACACCACCCCCTCGCAAACACGATACCAACATGACGCAAATGGAAAACCCATCGATTCAAAATCAATAATACTCACTGCCAAAGCGCCGAGCAACATCCGGTTCACCAGGATAACGGAGAAGTGGAGGGACGCGATGAAGGGCGTGCAGGCGGTCAACGCCGCAGAGATCAGAGTGGTCACGCCGACCGTCTGATACGGTCCGATGTACTCGGCGATGATTCCACCAGGAAACGACGTCAACACGTAACCGTAGAAGTAACCGCCGAGGATGTAACCCTGACTCGTCTGGTCCCACGCGTACCGCTCCCCGTACTAACAACAAACAAACAAAAAAACAAAAAAAACAAAAGCAATTGTTGCGAGTATGTTGCCAACGGTTAAACCAAGAACAACCCTACGTCCAGCAAAGAAACGTTCGCAGTGTTCGCAGACGAATTCCCCGCGTCGATGCACTCCGAATCGCTGATCCTCTTCGATAGACCCGTCGGCTTGACCATCGCTATGATGATGATGGACAGATTCACGCGCATCATGTAACTCATCAGCGTCGCCGTGAACACGTTTATCGCCAGGACAACGCGCATTGGGATGTAACCTCAAACGAAACAATACAAATAACATACATTCACACATTATTCTACTCACATTTTCGTCTTTCCTCCATCGTTCCGAAATTCAATTTCATGCCACACGTCACATAACTGAAAATCAATTGATTAGGTTGGCAACCGTTCCACGATATTCTAAGTTGGTAATACAATAAACAAATTTTCGTAAACGACAAACACAGTTTTTGCACCGAGAAAAAAGTGTTGCTTGTTAAAGAAAATACAGGTAAATATATAATATTTAGTTCAGTAATTAAATAAGACGATGAAAACAGTTAAAACTTCCTTATATATGTGTACTCATTCGCGTTAAACGATTTTACTTTGTATTTGGTTACGAAGGCGAAAGTTTACCGTTGCGTACCTGTAACAAAAACAAAATAAGGTGCTACAATAAAAGTATACACATCCTGAAATCCGGTGGCAATCGTAACCCCGACAACCGAAAGACCGTCTATCGAAATCTCGACTATGTCAAAATCCCGACAGTGTCTTTTATTGTTATAAATATCTACAATAACATTTTTATGGTAGTCACGATTTCGATATATTCGGGGTTTTGATTGTCGGGATTATGGTAGTCGAGATTTTAACATAGTCGGGATTTCGATATAGTTGGGATTTTGATTGTCGGGAATATGGTAGTCGAGTTTTTAACTTAGTCGGGATTTTGATTGTCGGGATTATGGTAGTCAAGATTTTAACATAGTCGGGATTTTGATTGTCGGGATTATGGTAGTCACGATTTCAATATATTCGGGATTTTGATTGTCGGGATTATGGTAGTCTAGATTTCGATATATTCGGGATTTTGATTGTCGGGATTATGGTAGTCAAGATTTTAACATTGTCGGGATTATGGTAGTCAAGATTTTAACATTGTCGGGATTTCGAACGTCGGGATTTCAATAGACGGTCTTTCGGTTGTCGGGCTTGCGATGTAAAATCTACGTACATTTTCGAAATACGAATACGAAAAATCAATTTTTTTCTTTGATCTTCAAGGGTAAAATGAACGGTCGAAAGAAAACAACAAATATTTGAAAAATTTAGTTTGGAAAATTCAAAATAAACTTCGATGAAGACGAAAAAAAAACACATTATAAATAAAACATCTTAATAATCTAACAGTAATAATATTAGTTATATAGTAAATAAGATCACATTTGATTTTCTTTTTAAACATACGCAGCTTGTAGTAATAGTAGTAGTATACTAGTTAGTATATATGTATATATAATATAAAATTGTATATGAAAGGCAATACTGATTTCCATTGTAGGCATTCCGATTTTGTGCGTGTGTGTGTTTGAGTCGCCTTCGCACAAATCGTTACTTAACTAATAGCTTAAGCTTATTATGTTGCGTTTAGATTTTAGCACCGTCGTTTTTTGTTTTGAGCAGTTTAGAATCATCGTTTAGACCTTGGTGTTTTCAGAGTCGGCCTCGGGATGCGGAATGTAAGCGTCGTTGACGATGCCGGTCGCCTTCGTCGCAGTGGATTTTTCTTCGCTCTCCGGATCCTGCGGCTCGACCACTGCGTTCCACTGTTGCACCTCGCCGCTTCCGAAGAGACAGAACACCAGACCGCAGCAGATGTAGACCGCTGCTCCCACCCAGAATATCAGGTGCCACTCGTACAGGCCGTTCTGCAAATCGAAAATCAACGGTGATGGATGTAAAGTGATAATAATCGAAATAATTTACTTTCTCTTCGGTCAAGTAGCCGGTGAGCATGGGAGTGATGAAGCCGGTCGTGCCGCCGATGCAGTTGGCGATGCCGTAAATGGTTCCAGCGAAATTCGGCGCCAGATCCTGCGAATTCTGCAGGTTGGTGATGGTGGAGGCGCCGTTGAAGCCGAGCGCCAAAGTGATGAAGGTGACGGAGAGGATGGCGTCGCAGCCGATCGCAGTCTCGGCCAGCAGGAAGATGCCGGGAACGATGTGAGCTAAATTGTACGAAAGTTGTTATTGAAAAAGAAAATTGTAATCAATCGTAACACACTCACAGAACAAAACGAACGATTTCCTTATGCAGGTGACGGATAACTTATTGGATTTCCTGAGCTGATCCCCGATCAGTCCGAAGATGAATCCGAAGATCATGCGAGCCAAGTAGGGAAGCGCCGCGAGGAGACCCGAGTGTCCCAGATCGAATCCAAGGATCTCGGACATGAATTTGGGACCGGCCGTCAAGAGCAGATACAATCCCCAGAGATTGCCGAAATGCAGGACGGCCAACGACCAGAAGGGAACGGACAGCGCCATGCTTTTGTACGGCGCGATCGATTTCCTCTTGGCGACGCTGTCACCCAAACTCTTGGCGATGTAGAACTTCTCCTCATCGCTGATCCTTGGATGCAGATCCGGTGAATCGGAGACCAAGAAGAACCAAAGCAGACACCAGAGCAACGCCAATCCGCCGGGTATGTAAAACGCCCACGTCCATCCTAAACTCTCGACGATCGAACCCAGCATGGGCCAAGTCAGTACCGTTCCTAGAGTTCCGCCGAGCAAAGCGCCCACGAATTTGCCCTTCTCCTCGGGCGGCGCCCAGCGCGAGATCAAACTGTGCAGAGCCGGGTATATAACGCCCTGAAAATCATATCAAAATCATTGAATCAAAATCGCACTTAAATAATTCAACAACTTACGCCCAAAAGACCCAAGAGTATCCTGTTAGCTATGACGACGCTGTAATGCCAGGAAGCGGCTAGAGGTGTCAGGATGGTAAGTACAGAAGAAACGAGCGTCGAAACGCCGACGGTTTTCAATGGGCCGAATTGCTCGGCCAGAAAACCGCCCGGCATCGATGAAATTATGTAGCCCCAAAAGTACGAGCCCAAGATCAAACCCTGGATCTTTGAATTCCACTCGTACCGAACGCCAAACTGCAAAAGTAAATTCATTCATACAAATTTTATATAAAAAAAACATCAATTTGTAATTACGTCAGGGGCAGCGGTTAATTTCTCGTGAATCTCCATCGTTTCGTTATCACCGGGTTTGGAAACGCCGGTCGCCGAACATTCGGAAGCTCCGGCGTGATTCGCGGAACCCGCCGGCTCCACCATCGCTATCAAGTTTATCGACATGTTGACTCTGAGCATGTATGCAACCAAGCATGCGGTGAATATCATCACACCCAGCACGGCCCTCGTCGGTATAAAATCTGCACAAAACATCAATATACACATTAATTGCAAAAACTCAAAACAATTTACAAAACGTACCGATTTTCGTCATTTCACTGCTCGTTAACTCGTTCTTCAATCAAAATAAACGTGTGCGCATGCTACGAATCTGGAAAATAAGAAACAAAGCGAATTTGAAAGTTTCCAAAGTGTTCTTTAAAAAAAAAAACATTTAATAAGTGTATCTTAATTAGAGATATGTTCGTTGTTGATCATCAGAAACGAATCACGAGATGGAAATCGTCAATTTCGCGGAAATAAATCGGTTGGAGGAGGCAGATAATTGCATGTAAAATAAAAAGATGATTAGAATTTAACCGCAGAACCAATTAAATTATTATTATTACTCCTAATAATAATAATAAACGTAAGATACACTTGCATCAGCTTATGCAACGCCAATAACACGCTAATTCAATGTTTCGTTAATAACACAACTAAAACTTCATTTATTTTAAACGTCAAACAAATGATGCGTCTGTTGCTAAGCGATTCGTTCGAATTTTGAATGAAACGTCAAAAAAAAAATTGACATTCGCATCAAATTGTTTGTTTCGATAAATTGCAATTGTTATTGTTATCATGGTAACATGAAGTAAAGCAAACTGCGATGAAAACGAATCGATGAACAATAATAATTTTGTGGCACGGCACGCGAGTACAGAGCAATAACAATAAATAATGACAATAATATCTCTTACGTATCTATTTGTTCCGTCGTTTGATTTACGATCGCCCCAGGTCCAATGTCACCGACGGGCGGGCCGGTGCAGCAATTTTTTTTCCCCCCCGGCTGCTGCGGAAAATCGCAGAATTCCTTTCCCGCGCGCGCTCGATATTAACGCCCGATGATTATCATAATCGCATGAATATATTGTGAAGACTCCAACGAAGATAACGGAAAACATAATTCTACGCATTCGTACCCGCATTTTTTTCAATGTTCGGTCGAATTTTTTGGTGTCAAGCGTTTGACACACTTTTCTAAGACCAATTTTTTTTTGGTTTCGCGCGTCGTTTCGTACGATTGTTCGTGTAACAGGAAATTCCGCGTTTTCTCGTTCTCCGAAACATCGTCGACATGTTGTCTGAACCCATTAATCGGCAGTTTGTCGCCGCAATTAGCGAATCCTCGACGCTAAACGAGTTCCGAAAATCCCCAAAAAGAAAGTCTGATTATTGATTTTCGATAATCGGATAATCGTTTCGGGTGTATTTTATGTATAAATTGATTGATTCAATTATAAATGAAGCAATTTACCCATATATTTCGATTGTACTCTCACCATTCGTTCTTTTTGTGCAATTGACGCGTTTTATTCTATGCACGATCGGAAAGCGGAGCCGCGAAAACTTTTAGATATTTCTAACACCTTTTTTTTTTTCGGTCTGAAGCGGTTGGAAGCGATCGTCGCAAATTTGGATGTCGACCGTGAATTTCAAGTACATCTATTAAAATAATAACACACATGAAAATAACAAAAAAATGCTGATAACAATAACATTAGCGATGTGCGCGCACTTGATATATTCCAAAACAATTATATAACGACTAACCATAAAACATAACGAACAGCGCCGGTAACCATGGATGATCACGATTGTTTTGTTTTTTTTTCTGTTGTCTTTTGTCATTGACGGAGGGAGACGGCCACTCTGTTTTCTTTCTTTTTCTCTTCAACTAATCTAATCTAAAGCCATTGCTCAAACAGATCTTTAATGCCTGTTTTCGTTAATTTTCCGCTTGCGCTTGCAATTGTTTTCGATTGCATTCTCTCAAATATCTATAAGAGTTTTTATTTTCTCTCTCTTTATTTTACTAGTTCATTAAGTAAGAAAACTTTCGGGCGAAAGTGCAAATCAAAAATTACTCTAAAATGAGTTCAGTTTTGTGAAAAGTTTTTTTTTTTTAATTTTTGGGTGAATCGGAGCGGAAAATTGATTCGAGGCAAAAGTGTTCTCGTTGTTTTTTGAAAGTTCTCGAAAGAAATTTATTTAATTGTATAAATGAAACTTTTGAATTGTTTGAAATTGGCGCTCGTTCGAGGTGAAGGATAGAGGGTAAGGTGTTAATTAAAGTTACCTGAAGTTTTGGGCAATCTTTGATTCGGATTTTTGAAATTTCTATTGATCTCGGTGCGCGTCTTCTGTTGTTTTTGTTGTTGGAGGCGGCTGCTGCTGCTGTTGTTGTTGGATGGTGGTGGATGTCTGAGGAGAGAAGAGGTTTCGGCTTGCTGCGTGAGGGCAGGGACCACGACTAAATTTCGGTTTCGCGTCCGGCCGTGTGATTATGATAATAAAACTTGCGACCGACTCGCATAACGCGTTTCGAAAAAATAAAAAGAGCGAGAAGCCGGCGCCCGGCCGCCCCCCTTTCCGCGCCCCCCACGATCGCGCCCCCTCTTTCGAACGTCGCTCTCTCCGTCTCGCTCCGTCTAACGCCCTTTCGCCTGACTCCCTCTCTCTAACTCTCTGTGCCCCATCACCACCACCACCATCATCATCATTATCATCAACATCTTCTGGTCCTCCTGTTGCTGCTACAGGTACCGTCGCGAAATTACACCATACGATGACCACCACCAAAAAGGTACTCAAAATAAAACCGAAAAGAATAAGCGCGCATACCTTCCTCGAAAAAGGAAGAACACGCAACAAATAACAAACAACAAAAAAATATGTAGGTTTTCAGAGGGGTCGGCGATCTGCGGGTGGTAAGATGGTGAAAATAACAACAAAAAAAAAACAAGAGGTGATGCGAGAGAGCGAAGATGGAATGTCAATTGTAACTGTAATAATAGAAGGAGAACGAAGTAGTAGGCAGAAGAGGCGACAACAAAAAAGAAAAAAAAAGTTTCCGAAATATTTCCACTGGCTGTTTTGTTGTGCGAGAGCGGGCGGATTGAATAACGCGAGGAGAGCGTCAAAGAACTCTCGCCCAGAGGAATTTAAAAATGCGAACGAAGATTTGGTAGAGTTCGAAAAGAAAGAAAGAATCGTTCTCTAATTTCATCGCGAAAATGAAAAAGATCGAAGCAACAGCATCGACAAACAAAAACATAGCAGTTTTAATGACAGATGAATGACGTGCATCATTGACACTCGATGATTTTGATAACGTAAACAACAATTACAAGTTGACAGTCAATTGTCAAATTTGTTACAGAATTGACAAATGACAGGTACAGGTACACACACGCATATGTTTGTTTTGTTTATATATGACGAATCTAACTAATCGAATATTTTGCGTGTGATTCACGGCGATTATTGATAACTGAAGTGTACAGCACAACAATCATCAATTAAAATTGAAAGGAAACAATCGATGTAAACAAACGCGTATCGTTAAATGCACTTTACGGGCAGAGCGCGCATTCCAACGACGAACATTATATAAAAAAAATATATATATCGGATAATTTTGACGTATCTGTCAGATTGACGGGCATTCGATGCTGGAGCAGGAGACGAACGGAACGAAACAATCGTCGATAAATTGAATGAGAATAAGTAAACTATGCGATTTATATGAATTGCACACGATGATTTATTTGTAAATTGGTTTACAACTCGATTAATGAGACTCGTTAACGTGTTAATTGTTGGAATCTGATCGACGGAAAATAGTTGACACATTAACAACATGTGTCAACTATTTTCCGTTGTTTTGTTTCCTAGATTTCTGCAAATCTCTTGTTGTTGTTGTTGTTATGTCACATTTGTGTTTTGACATTGACTTTCGGCGGCCTTCCGACTTCGTCAATCACGCTTTTTCTCCATCCAATTACACGCAATCACGTATGATTTTCGTTTTACCTTCCACCATTATTATTGCTATTTTATTATTACTTTTTTATGTAATGTATGTGTGTGTTTTTCGCGTTTATTGACGATAATTTCGCGACCTCTTTGAAACTACATAATGTTAATTTCGTTGGTAACTTTGGTTTGCATCGGAATCGAGTTGCAAAATCAACTGCTCTTTGTTTGACATTTGTCATATGTTTAATGACAGCAGATAGTTTGATTTAATGAAAATGACTCCAGTTCAGGTGACTAAACACATACAGACACAGTCATAATTACGTTGACCGTGCAATTACCTGACTCGATGCGCTAATTGCACCTGCAAACTGGAAGCAAAACAGTGCAAACAACACACATCAACAGTTTAATGTGTTTCGTTTGCTCATCTCACGATTGTGGGTAAAACAAAGAAAGAAAAAGCAAAGAATAATTTGGGAATTTGGAGGAGAAAAGCAAAATTCCCTAATCACTCATCGATACGAGCGTGCATAATTCATTAAACCGATAACATTGAAAAGGAAAAACAAACGTACTTTGCTTGCTTCACTAACGAGCTTTTCGTTTCGTTTTCCCCGAATAAAAATTAATCGCGCTCGCAACAATCGAATCACAAATTACCTACAAACGGCAATTATCCACGAAGAAAGAGCAAACAAACAGAGAAGAAAAAAACAAATATAATAGAAGAAACACGTAACAATTAAATATCGACCATTTTGTTGTTTGTCGCTTTTCGTTTGTTTTGGAGAAAAACAAGCGAGAACAACCGAAGAACATAATAAAACGGTAAACAAAGTCGTCCGCGATAATGAGCATATTTCTGATAATTATTAGCATGATCGAATCGCAATAGTTTTATTAAAAGACGAACACGCGATTACACACGCAAACCTGTTTGTTTTTGAGCAAAATAAGTTGTTTTTTTTTTTTTGCAAATTTAAAAATAGCCGTCAATTGATTCCATTTTATATCCCGAATGGATTATTTTAGTTGCATAGACATATTACGCAATCGCAAAATTTATCGATTGGTGTTGTTTCTTTGGAGGAAGATTTAAATATTTAAAAGCTGATCGAAGAAGTCGTATAAATTTAACGTTAACCGGACTTCAACTTTTTCTTTTCTTTCGTCGTTTGTTTCGTTGTCAGGGCAATTTCGTTATGTCACTGAGGACGCGCGTCGTCCGTTGTTTCGCGATCGCAGGGATCCCGACGTATTTCATTCACGTACAATATATATTCTATCCTCCAAAATATATCGAAGTGTTTTGTTTCTTTTTTTTTTTGAAAGGCCAGATTGCGCAACGAATACGATGCGTTAATTATACGAACCAATACGCGCTCATTGGCGATTTCATTCGCACCTCTTCTTGAAAAAATATGTATTATAATAGGTTTAATCGGATTCCCTTGAAGATAAAGGAAGAGCAAACAGACATTGACACATCAACATTGACGTTGCTCACGTGCGGACAATTTCGTGTTGAAATCGATTTATTGTTCAAAAAAAAAAATATTGTAAACAGATCGTGACAGTTATTGAAGATGCTAACCTAGCATAATCTAACCTAAATTAATGTTTGACAGATTACAAAAGTCAAGCAACACATATGAACAATTAAGTAAATAGATAATTTAGTTTCATAGGAATTTCCAAACGCACGATCTCGGGAATTTGTGTCGTTAAATGAAAATAATTTGTAGTTATTAAAAAAAAGCAGCAATAATAACGTTCTATCGACAGGCAAAACGTGAAAATTATCGAACGGTAAACCAAAGTTTTATTGGAATTTTCCACCCAATTGCGTTTCTGTTCTACGCGTCGCGAAACGAATGTTTTATTGAGCATTCACGGCAAAGCGTTATGCATTTACTTTTGCGATTGCCGCCTTTATTTTTTTGTAATTTTGCGTTATTCAAATGTCTTCGACGCGCCGGTAGTTTTCCGCGACGCAAGAACAAGAAGACTAACGATTAAAACAAATGAGATACAAAAGTGGAAGAAGAAAAAAACAAGTCCGGTCTTGTTGCTAACGACTTTTACTTTTTTTCCTAACGAGCGCGGATCTTTGATGCATGGGAAATTTCCTATGATATATAGTAAAATGTAAATGGAAGAGAAGAAATGGAATTGAAAACACCAAAAATGTTGGGGGTTTACGTTATTTTAATCGGGATCAGAGGAGGCCGCGATCGCGAAGTTGACAGGAAAATCCCCGTGTCAAAGTCAGCCGGATCGACGGGCGAAAAAATCGGATCAAAAAGTTATCTCAAAATTCTCCGTGAAATTTTAATATGAAATGTGAAAAAGTGAGTTTATATCGTTTGGACGATTTAAAAAATTGAGGGGATGATCGTTGTTGTTGTTTTTTTGTAGAAAAGTAGCAAATGTAAGAGGAAGCGCAGACGAAGACGCCCGAAGCAGCAGGACATGCTGATGACCATGAAGAGCCTGAGGAATTACAACCGGAGTGTCGTGGATCGTATCCGGCATTTGTGCAGTTTCCTCTGGTTCCGCAGCTTCTGCATGACGCTGGGCTGATGAAAATGAACGAACGAACGAAATGCAAAGCGCATAACAAAACTCTAATCTCACCACTACCACCCCTCAAACATAAGATGTGTCTAGTTTCGAATGTCTCTAGCCGTTTAAGATAATGTGAGTGCTATGAAAATAAAAACGTAACAGAAAACAGTAAAGAATCGCAATTACGATGTAGACAACCAAATCTACATTTCTCCGATCAGTCGCCTCTTACGACAAGCGGGAGTGAGCTGTGGTCGTATTCTTTTTGATAACTGCCCCGAACCACAGGGCAAACTACAGATGTTTTGTATTCTCAATGAAATTGAAACCAATCCTATTTCTTTAAAATAATTTATTCAATAGTTTTTTTTTTTCGAGAAGAAACAGTTCGAAACAAGTAAAACGAACACTTGGAGCAAACAGATTTAGCACACGTAAATAATCGGCAATTTCCTTCCTTTACAAATATAAAATCGTATAAAAAATATATATACATAACAGATCGAAAGATTGAGAATAAAATTTTGTAAATCGGGGGAGGAAAAACAAAATCAAAGTGTAAAAAAAAGGTAATGAAACTGAGATAAATACAATATATACTAACGAGATTCGCTCAAATTTTTAACACCTTTTAAATAGACATATTAAATAAAACTGATCACACCTATCGTTACACGTAAATAACAATAACGTTTACCCTATAGATTCCTTTTCACGAGTCATCATCATCATCTTGATCATCATCATCTCTAAGTTAAATAAATAAGACATTAATATGACTGGAAACAACAACAACAACGACGACGAGAATCGCGTAATAAATATTAGGTGAATCGTTTACCGTTGCGGATCGACGATCAGCAAGGAGTCGATGCACTTCTTTCCGCACAACGAGCCGATCTGCGTGAAGCACTCGGTCATCCGCTTGTTGTAGCTGATGTTACCGAAATAGTAGATGCGGTAGTTGTAGAAGATCTTGAACTGCTTGATGTCCTCCTCGGTGCAAGCGTTCTCGTCGACGACGTCGCTTCCCGCGAATCGGCAATACTTTTGCGCGTCGAGCGAGGGCAGGCACTGTTCGATGCGGTGCCAGGTGTACGTCTCCGGGCACAGAAGATCGGAGCAGCTCAGCTTCCCCTTGTACCGCATCTTCGGGCACGAGTGGTTGTAGTAGCCCATGTAGTAGTGCTCGATGGACGGCCGCAGCTTGTACAAGTCGCGCGTGTAGTGCAATTCTCTGGAAACGATGCGAACGTTTTTTGAGGAGAAATTAAATTGTTTCGATAGACGCACCTCAGTGAACCGTAAGTGCCGAGCGTCAGGTTTCTGTAGGCCGGATCGTAGAAGAAGTAGACGGAGCTCACGCATTTCGGCAGGATGTCGATCACACCGACGGCGACCAGCTTATCCTCGAGCCAATACTGCTGATGGAAAGAACCGTACTTGATGTTCGAATCTTCCTCCTCCTCAGCTTGTCGAGTCTTCCAATTAGACAAAATGAAATGTGGAAGAAATGCGACAAATAAAGTTTACCTTCAACGGAGAAGATACCAGAAATCGGATGAAACCTTTCATGTTGACGTCGTCGTCGTGCACGATCTTCTGGTACTTCTTGTAGACCTCGTATTCGGCGCTCTTCGTCCTCTCCCACTCCTCGTCCGCGTCTCCGGAGCACACCAGCACCACCTGCAAAACGAAGAGAAACGCACACGCTCAAACTAATTTCTCTGAACGCGAATCCATCCATTCATCCATCTAGGATCGAGCACGGACTTTGAGCTTCCCCTGAGGCTCGGCCGCAAACAGATCCTCCAGACTCTTCTCGCCCTTCTTCTGCCCCCTGATCACAGTCGTCGTACCGTCCTTGTTCTTCCTTCGCTCCAGCCTCAGCAGCTTCGCCTTTTTGCACGGAGGCTTGTTCGGATCCGCGCCCATCCCCTTCTTCACCACCTTCTTAACCACCCTCGTCGATTCCACTGCAACAACCATAACACTAAATCTAATCACAAATACGATCTAGTAGCCTTACTCGTAATGGGAGGTTTAACCTCTTTGCTGGTTCGTTGCTCCTCCTCCACAGGTTTACGCTCCGCCTCCTGCTTTGATTCGCACATTACCAACTTACTGTTGGCATCCAGATGCATGGAAGGCACATGCTCCCCGATAACGTCCGTATCTCTGGCGTTCTCGTCTTCGGGTCCGCTCGACGGCAGCTCACCATCCTTCAAATACTTGTTGAACTTCTTCACGACCTTCTTCTGAGACTTTGTCGGCTTGAAATTCACCGCATTGCATCTGCACACACACAAACAATAACAAAATCAATTCCAATTGGAAATAATGTGTGTGTTTCAATTCGAATTGACTGACCTGATAGTGTAGAGCGGACAGCAAGTGAGATCCATGATCGGCTTGTAGCAATATTTCCCTGACCTCCTCCAGCCCCTATCGATCAAGGTCTGGTAATCATCGACGGTGAGTTGCTCAGCCCACATCCCTATGGAAACATAAACAAATGATGCACAATTTGTTGACAATTGAAAATAGGTATGGGCCTCACCGTTTGAATGGCTGCAATTGGAACTCTTGCAGTAACCGCATTTCGATGGGGAATTGTCGAAGAACCAATGCGCGATGCTGGCCTTCCTTATTTCCATCATAGATCAATCTCAGAGCACCGTCTTTGTTATCGAGTTTCTATCTCCGCTCCGCTTCACTTGACGTCTCAGCAACAAATGACGTAGATGGCGTTTGCGCGCGTCCGTCTTCTGTTTAATTCGCGCATCATCGGTTGCCTATCATAAACATATATTTAATTATACTATTAAATTCACATAAACACATATGATTCTTTTATATGTTACTTACTGAGGCTGCAATTACATTTCGTTATGAATGTATACTTCCAATGAGCGATTGGTTGGTGCAGTTGCGAGGGAAACATAAGCGTCTCGGTAATCAGCTGATAATATATGTCAGGATGTAAACAATGGTGAACGATCGTATGTTTGCTCACTATGACGATTCAATTTTTGAAATCTAATCGAGACGGCGATCATCGTCGTAATCGTAATAATCGTGCAAGGTCATCGAATCCGACACACTTTTAATTGCGCGCGGCAATCTTAGTTCACGTTTACCGTGTGTTTGTGTGCATGTAACACAGTCGGGTGGCTCATGCTTTTCTGACTCATTCTCAGTTCGAGCGTCGGAGAGGAGTGAAGGTCCCAAACGACAATAGCAAAAAAAGGGCGACGAGATGAGCGCCAACAACACCAACGGTTTTCGCGGTAAGTCGAAAACGTGATTCGTTTACACTTTATCGGTAATGTTTCGTAATGAATTTGCAGTCGACGACACGCAGGGTCACTACGAGGAGGTGAAAATACCAGTGCCGTGGGGGCACATCGCAGGTGATATAATAATCAATACTTTATAAATATTCCCATTTCCATAAATCAAACCATCATTGACACATGTCACTCTGACAGTTAATGATGATGATGATGATGATGTCAATTCGATAAACAAAAGAAACAGTTGACGCTATTTTATCAATAACAAGAAGTAATGATAATGAACACTTTTTTTTTAATTGACGAGTGCAATGTCCATTCAATTAAATGTCGATTAGATATAAATTTATTTACATTGTTGTACTCATTTACATAGTGTCAAGTCAGATTTGTTTATTTTAAATTAGTTTTTTTTAATTAATGGTTATTAATTATGGAAAATAAGTAATATAATCGTTGTTTGCACAAACTGTAAATTACGTTTTCTCACCGTCTTTTTTTTATGTCGACCTTGGTGTTCATTTTTTTTTACTTCTTCTCTTCTCGGGTTCGTAACCGGGGAACTTTGAACCCGCCAATTTTATTTGCATTAACCGTTTCTTTTCGATCATACGAAACTGATTTTTGTTGTACAATGTTGCAACAGTCTCTATTTCGAGCGATTTTTTTATGTTTAAATTTTGTTTTTTAGGTAAATGGTGGGGTTCAAAGGACCAGCAGCCGGTGTTGGCGATTCACGGTTGGCAGGATAACGCCGGGACCTTCGATAATTTAGCACCGCACCTGGTGAAGGCGAACCTGTCGGTGCTGTGCTTGGATATGCCTGGGCACGGCTACAGTTCGCACTATCCGCCGGGTCTGTTCTACTACATCTTCTGGGACGGAGTGCACGTGCTGCGGCGGGTGGTGAAGCATTACAAGTGGTCGTCGGTGAAGCTGTTGGGACATTCGATGGGCGGCGCGATATCCTTCCTCTACGCCGCGTTCTATCCCGAGGAAGTCGATTGCTACGTCGCCTTGGACATCGCCTCGCCGGCCGTCCGCGATTCCAACAAAATGTACAATGTGACCGCCGGCGCCGTCGACCGTTTCCTCAAGTACGAGGGCTTCGATTCCGGCACGGCGCCAACGTACAGGTACAAGCAGATGTTGGAGATCGTGGTCGAGGGGTACGAGGGTTCGGTGACGGAGGAGAGTTGCCACGTGCTGATGAGACGCGGCACGCGCAGCGACAACGAATGCTGCGACCAGTACACCTTCACCAGAGATCCGAGGCTGAAGCTGTGCGCTCTCGGCACGATGGACATCAATCAGGCCGTCGATCTGGCGCGTAGGGTCAAGTGTCGAGTGATGAACGTGCGCGCCGTCCACAGTCACACGCACTCCGACCCCGGCTACTACGACAAGGTGCTCGACGTCGTCGAGAAGAATGCCAGAGTCCTGGTGCGCGTCAACGTCGACGGCACCCATCACGTCCATCTGAACAACGCGGAGCGCGTCGCCGGACACGTCGTCGACTTTCTACTCGACGAAGACGACGACCTAATCTAGACACGATATTTATTTATTCCGCGAACGCATCACGAAACTCGTGTATGTAATCCATTTACTATAGTATTTTAAAAAGAAATTATTTATTTTCACCGGTGATATATTTGTTATAAACGAAACCTTACATATTAATTAAAATGGTAACCTTGCACCTCGTCACCTCGACTTACGTCCCGAAAACAGGAAGCTCTCTTAGTATAACAAACCCCCCCCCACCTCTCCCTTTTTGTTTATTTATTTTTTTGTTTGTTATTTTAATACGAAATCGAGAAAAAAAAATTAGACACGGCCATGAACTTAAAGTAACCATGGTAACGATTCAAACAAAGCACCAACAAACAAGAGGCGAAGCGCGATGACGCTCGAGCAGGTCCAGGAGATCGTGCGAAAATACGGCGGAGAGGAGGCCAAAATCGAAAAACTTCTACAAGAAAAGTAAGCGCACAACAACAACAACAACATTTTAATTGAATATAATATACAAAAAAAAATTGCTCAATGAACGCACTTGTTTCAACAGAAACATGTCATTTCTCACAACAAAAAAATAGTCGATTCGTTCAAATTATCAATTGCAACTTCTACTACCAATAATTCCGCTTCCAATTGCGCTTATATAAGCACATCTTCTTCAACGTGCATCGGCATCATCAAAAAAACATCTTATCGTTATGCAACTCAATTAACTTCGTAGTGCGCAAAGGAAATCACACACAAAAAAAAACCAGTGGCGTCACGGTCAAATTCACCTCTTGTTACGTCATTGGCCAAAAACATATATTGTTTGGAGAAGGTGTATTTATTAATTTTTGTAATAATTATAAAAATATTAAAATTTATTTTAAATAATAAAAACGAAATATTTTGAGAAAATTTAATTTCATTTGCATTTTTTAGGGAACTGGAGGAGAAAACTGCCAAAGAGAAGAAACTTTCGATGGTCGAGAGCAAAACTCGGACGTCGTTCGATGAAATAGTTAAACGAAACAGACAGATTTTGAAGGTAAGATTGATTCTGATAATATTGCTAGGTTTCAATTATGCAACTCGCGTTATATGAGTATACACTGTTGCCTATAATAATAGTACGTTACTCAACGATTTTGAATGAGCTCTCCTTTTAGTCGCCTTTTACGACAAGCAGGAGATACTTTGGCCATATTCTTTGATAATTGCCCTGAAAACCAAAGGGCAATTTAATTTGCAAATTAATTGACGATTTGTTTTTATTATATTTGTCAGGATCTGGAGGTGGTTAAAGGAAATTTGAGATCGAAGGCGATCTTCAGTCCGTCCGAGATGCAGTGGGAGAGGATCTGCGAGAACTACAGGGAGAATCCCTCGCTTCCGGTAACAACCTATCGATGCCATCTTCCGGTTTTCGTATAACAACTTCATCTTTGCTACACATTTTCTTTATATTTAGTATATCTATTTGCTGTCTATTATTACTATTATTACACGATACATTTAAATCAACATATTTCGTTTCATTACAATCCTATTTCCCCTTCATCAAAAGTACTATAGAAATGAGTTTAGATTTTGTAGATTTTTCAATTTCATTGCTTACAGTATTTAGTTTTTCTTTACCTACCATTAAATTTAAAATGTATTTAAACGGTTCGTGCTTTTGGTGCCATTTGCAGATGCTTATTATCTTGTTACCTTGACGATTGATTAGCCGTGAAATTAATTGAGCAATTGGTATTATCAATGTCTATTTAAAGAAAATTAAGCATGATTCGGATCGTGTGGATTTGTTTGCAGTGCTCGAAACACTTGATTTAGAATTTACATTTCGTTGCCGTTCCTGAGTGTCTTACGTGGAAGGAAGGTAGGCGATAGGCTCGGGCAAAAAAAAGTATTATATATGTGTATTATCATTTGTATTATTTCCAAAGCGCGATAAAAAAAAAGTTATCAACATCGGTGCGCCAAGGTATGTAGACCAGAACTATTCCCGCTGATACCGATACCGGCGTCTCGCTCACCTGATCCACCTTTAGCGACGAAAGGAGACGGAAGACACGTGCGATAATAATAATAATAATACACGGTGTATATATGGATTGATAACTATGTAAAGTTACCAACGAACGCAACATGCGCGACCGACAAATGGGCAGAAGCGAGAAGCGAAACGTTTATTTTGTTCTCTTTCATTTCTTTTAAAGAGCGAAACGGAAAAACGAAAAACCCCCACGACCAACAACAAGAAGAAGAGTGAGAAGTCGCCACCACCACCGCCGTCTGTTTTTAAAACAATTGCATTGTTTAAAAAAAATAATAAAATATATCGTTGGCCACGAACTCATTCCGTCCCCGAATGTCGTCGGATCGACAGCGAAAGAAAGGTTCGCTCCCAAAAGAAAACTACAATTTCGGTAAGTCGACGTCAAGTCACCTTTTTCATTACCACCTATATCGCAAATCAATTGTTTCATTTCTTTATTGTTTTTTATATTCTTGGTTTCGCTTAGAAATCGTTTCTTTAATATTTTAATGCAATCTACAACAGATTCGTGGCAAATTTGCGATAAGCAAATGAAAGGAAAACAAAAAGAATCTCGGAAACAATGGTGGCAAAAGCGAACAATGAGCGAAGATAAAATGTTTAATTGTTTTTTTTTGTTTCTTCTCTTTCGTAAAGGATGAAATTAAGAAGGGAAAAATTATCGAACGCAACGAAACGCGATTAGTCGCGCCGCGACTTTAACAACAGCGTGTGCCTCCTTCTTTTTTGTTTGTTTGTTTCCTCTCATTTTCATTTATTTTCGTCGACGTGTGCGTCGTAATCCTTTCGTTTTAATCCTAAAATCAACACAACTTTATTTGTGTGTGTATGTTTTGCTTCGTTTTGAGCAGACAAATCCAATTCTTTGTTGATTGCAAAGAAATCGGGTCCCTCTACTCGACAAACCACTTCGATCATCCCAATTCCGTCTACCTCATTTCCTGTAGCTCACTCTGTACGTTTCGCAAAATCGGCATGTTTAATTAAAATACACGCAACAGCAACATCACCACAGTTCGGTGTCTCCGCTTACTTGATCCACGCGGATAGACCGTCGAATTTCCGAGGTTTGTTCGTGCGGCTCGAGTTAACGAAGCCCGAGACACTGCAGACCAATCAACCAACCAACCAACACATTTAAACATCATCGCAACAAGGAAATTATCGGGTTTCGGAATTGATGATCTTTGTGGGGGTGAGTATCTTATTAATTCATTTACAATTTCTAACAGCGGTTATTATCATGAGACACTAAAGTCGTTTAGCATTTTCGAAAACTAGAAAAATATTGCACAACTTTTCGAATGCTTATTACCAGATAAGGAGTATTACGACGAACCTAAAAATAGACTTAGTTAATAATCTATAGTTTTGCCTTTAATTTGCATATTCAATTGTCTAATTAGTCTACGTGGTTGTCGAGTGACCAACATTTTAAGATTAATGCAACTAACATACATTTACCAACGTTCTAGCTAAAAGCAACTAACATTTACATTCCTACCTTTAACAAAGATTTCATGTACACAGGGAACGAAATGATCGATGATCGAAAATTTATGATTTTTTTTTCTTTATTAATTTATACCTTTGGCTTAAATAATTAGTGTCCCTAAGTTCAATTAAATACATACAACATTATTACATATCGTTTACGTTTCATCATTCATGTTTTTTTTTGTCTCAAATTTTTCTCGCATTACACATCGGATTATCGTTAATAATAGTCGATTTACAATAATACCTAGCTTCGATCCTTACAATAATCCTTTTTTTTTCTTAACATATGGCACATTACGTTTGTTTTTCTTCGAGTCCTCGAGTTTTTTCCCTCATCGTTACAAAAATATATCATCGTCGTGTTTCATCCATTCTTTCTTTCATTTTTTTTTAGTTACAGTACACCTTACTTAATTTTATTATATATATATTCTCTTTTTTTTTGTCATCGTCATCGCTTCTTATCATTAGCAGATCTTAACAATAAACGCAATAAGAGGGAGAGAGATAGATAGAGATAGAGAGAGAAGGATATACTTATATAGGTTACAATAAAGAATAAGTTAAGGTTACAATTTGAAATGAAGACGAAACTACTATAAA